GAACAAAATCATTTCATAAAATATTGCAGCCTGAATAAAGTGCCCAACTTTATTTAACGGCTGTGACTCCATTCATCAACTGTGAGAACCTATGATCATGTCCTCCATGAACGTATCCATATGATCATATACTCCACAATTTGATCCGGACCTTTATGTTTGTAAATAGTGCGCAAAATAAATAAATAAAACCTTATTTATGAAATTCAGAAAATTATTTATTGTTTCATCGTCTTACTCCAAGAGCACAATGAAAACAATAACTCTGACTTGCTTAATGCAAGTCTGGGATCCTCCTAAGACCCAAAGAAGTAACATGCCTCTCGAACACAAGTTCAGGCAAACTCTTAGTAACTGGGTCTGCAAGATCCACTTTTAATGTTATCTGAGTTTAGTAAAAACTCATAGCTCGAGGTTGATTTTCTTGAGTCAATATCCACTTGAAATAACTGAATTTTTGAAAACTCAGCTTTTCAAGACTCCCACTAGAATATACCAGCATATAATCTCTCGTTCTCCAAAGATACTTGAGTACATGCTTAACAATAATCTAGTATTCCTCTAGGTTCAAAATGGTACTATCTCACTACTCCCACTGCGTGACAGATGTTTGGTTTAACGCCGAACATGATATGCGTGAGTCTACCTTTGCCAAAGCATAAGATATCTTGCTCATGCATTCTTCCTTCTTAGAAGTCTTTGGTCACTCCTTAGGAAGATGAATTCCACATCTGAGAATTATAATTCTTCTCTTAGAATTCTCATGTTGAATTTTGGGTTTTGTCAATGTAAGTAGCCTGAGGTGATGCCAACAACTTATTCTTCCGGTCTCATAAGAGTTTTATACCAAGAATATAATTGGCTTCCCCAGTACTTCCATACCAAAACACTAACTTAGCCAACTCTTTATGCTTGATATTACCTCCACATTGTTTCTAATAAGGAGCATATCATCTACATAAAGTACCAGAAAAGCTACTGTCTTCCGTTGTATCCTTTACATACAAATACACATCATTCATCAAGGTTCTCTCAAAATCAAAATTTTGATAACCTGATCAAAACTGATGTTTCAAGACCTGGATGCTTGCTTAAGTCTATGAAATAGACTTTCACAACTTGCATACCGTGTGTTCCTACTCATTTGCTATAAACCTTTTTGGTTGTTGTATGTAGATATCCTGACATCCAACTCCCAAAATGAAATCTCATAATTGAGACTTATAGCAACTAAGAGAATCTGGATAGACTCAAGCATGGCGTCTGGCAAAAAATGCCTCCAAGCTAGCTTTGAAGGTTTTCACCTTTCTGTCCATCCTCTCTTTGCCTTTTATATCCACATGCACCTTGTGGGTTTTACCCCTCTTGGTGTATTTACTAGGACCGAACGGAGTTGAAATACAAGTATTTCATCTTATTGTTCATAGCGTGAGCAACACTTGATCAACAACATCTTCTAGTGTATTATCGTAACTAGTAGGATCAATATCACTCAACAAGAGACAACTTGAGAGTTAACAAGGTTCTCTCCTACTACGAATGTACTGCACTAGACCTTGTGTATTTATAGGTAAAACAAATAGTGGGTCAAATGATGGATCTTCAATTTCTTGAGGATCCGATTATCCTTGATATTGTTCCTTTACATGTGATACTAATATTTCTACTAGTTTCACTTATATATTATCATGTTGAATTTCCAATCATGGTTCTCTTGTTTGTTCACTTAGAGATATATCTATCCCCTCTTGAACAATCAAGGGAACAATGGATGAAGCTTCTAGAGATTCTGGAAATTCTTGATCTGAGATAAATCTCATCGAGAATAACCTAACTTAAGAGCTTGTAATTTCTTATCTAGTCCTCCTTTAAGAAAATCATGTGAGTGCTCACTTAGATTATCTTGTCCTTAAGACTAAATAAGAAATCATCCCTAGTTCTCTTAGGGTAGCCAAAAGATATGCACACTTCCATACAAGATTCCATCTCATTTGACTGCTGTTGTAGGACGTGTGTCGTAGCACCCTAAATTCGAATATGGTTAGATCTGGGCTTGCACCCCTTCCATAATTCTTTAGGTGTCTTTACAACAAACGTTGACGGAACCAAGTTAAGAAGGTACATTTCCTTCTCTTAGGCATCTCCCTTGAACAACATTGACAAAGATGAATAACTGAACATGATCTTCACCAAGTCTAGAAATGTTTGATTTTTGCATACTGCAACTTCATTCAACTAACGCGTTCTTAGAGTTGACAGTTACAAAAACTATCCCCTCTTAAATCAGGTAAGACCTGAACTTACCAGACAGGTAGCCAACACTTTAGTCAGACCAAAGTGTTTTTGATTTGAACACCTACATGCTTTTCTGCCTCAGACTAAACCTCTTGGAAATTTTCAAAAGCTTTAGACTTATAGCGCACTTGGTTCATCTGTCCAAATCCAGAGTAAACATTCATATAATGAAGTACTCATCACCTCTTCTGGTCTGAACGCTAAGTGGTCCACATACTTTAGTATGTACCAGTTCCAGTTGAATAGTTGCGCAAACCTTCTTGGCCCTTGTAGGATTGCTTGGCCACTTTACCTTCCAAATAGGACTAACACGTAGCTGTTAGTTAAAAGATTATTGAACTTTCAGTCCCTCTTTTAACTAAAACATGTTTCCTACTTGAGATAACATGACTCAATCACAAAGGCCAAAGTTATGTTTCATTTGAAACTTTTATTTCTTTGGTGAAATTTCTTGTTCATCATCCTTCCATTCAACATAACAAATTTAAAAAGGTTATAGGACATAGGTAATAAAGACTATTTAAACAATGTACCAGAACAAACAAGACGAAGATGAACTTCGAAATGTAACTGAGGAATCAATTGCATTGTCAACCCATGTTTTAACCAAAACAACTAACAAAAATTGAATTCCTCTTGAAATCTGGAACAAATAAACAATCACCCAAAACCATAGTCTTATAAATAACTTGTCTTACTGCAAATGCAGACACAAGTTCCCATTTTCAAGCTTAAAATATCTGTCCATTGCTGACAGGTATGCCATGTTTGAACTACTACAAAGAGTAACAAACATAATCAGTGATTCCTGAATCAATAATTCATTCACTGATCAGGCCTTGATATGCCCATGTCAGGTTCTTTTCATCACCTCTGGACAATTTTTCTTTCAGTATCCCTTCAGTCTGCACTTGAAGAACTTGCCTTGCGGCTTCTTCATAGCAACTGGTTTGACAACTGATAACCAAGTCATTTTGTTCTTGTTACCACCCTTGGGTTTCCCTTTGGATTTAACAAGACTCTTAGCAAAACCTGCACCGACTGCATTCTGTCTAGCAGAGCTGCTAGACGCAGCAAACATGTCATTAAGAGTCTGAAGCATTTCTACTCCACTCTTAATCATGTACACTTGCTTCTGCAAGTATTTGGAAAGACTGACAATAATATAGAAGCGAACTACCATTTCTGCCCTTTCCCAATCTGAGAAATGCATCTTAGCTTCCTTAGACGCATTCTCTGCAGGTTGCTATGGCCCTCGCATTGTCAGGACAAATTTTAGCTTCCATGTTTTAGAACAATATCAAAGATTTGTTTTTCACTTATTCATAGTTGGTACCATCTAGAGGTTTTCGACTCAAAATCATTTCTAAGATATTTTCTGAAAAACATATAAAGCACACAATTACAAACAAATAATGCAATAAACAAACGAAGTGCAAGTAGATTCTTTGTTTATTGTTAACAATCTTTCAGTTTATCTTTACAAGGCTTACGATGGGCAAGTCACTTGTAAAAACCAAAATTGTTATTTGGGCCTTCAGTGCCATTGCCAGAGCCTCGATGGGAGGGTTAACAATTTTACCAAAGTTGAACGTAATTAACCATTGTTTAATTTCAAAATTATCCTTAGTGTCTAAGCATTGCCGACGATGGGCCGTACAATACTTTACTAAAATTTTGAAATTATTAAGATTTAATCTAGTGAAATCTGATTATCCTTATCCGATGGGGCTTCAGCGATAACCATTTCACTAATAAACCCACAAATGGAGCCCACAGGTTTTAAAATTAATAAATTTTTAAAACCTTCACTCATTCAACATTTTTGTTTGAGAATTTTCATAAGCCCAGTCGAATTCATTGTTTAATTTCAAAATTATCTTTAATAACTTAGTATTATCGACGATGGGTCGTACAATACTTTATTAAAAATTTGAAATTATTAAGGCCCAATAAAATCCAATCATGCTAATCCGTTGGGGCCTCACATGATTATTTTATTGATAGGCCCACAATGCGCCTGGAGGTTAAATTAATTTCTTAATTTAAATCTCCTCCCATAGATATTTAAGTCCAATCTAATAAAATCCAATTATGCTTATTCGATGGGACTTTACATGATTATTTTATTAATGGTCCTATAATGCGCTTGAAGGTTAAATTAATCTCTTAATTTAAATCTCCTTCCATTCAACATAAGCAACATTTTCTAATTTCCAAGAATTATTTAATTGAGAGTATTCTTTGTTTGATTTCAAAAACTATATAAGTAATAGCGCCGATAAACGTGCACTAAGCTTAACATAATTTTGAAAGCATTAAGGTCCTGAAATCCGGTCACTTTACGTCAGCGTGTGCTCCAAACAATCATGATACATGAATGTTGTATGCAGCGTGTGTTATTCCATGACCATTTCAGAAAACCCACAAATTACTCGCAAAATAAAAGAATTCTCTTAGGAAATTTTCTCTAATTATTTTTCTAGATTTAAATCATCCAAATAGCTGACTTAATTATTAATCTAGATTGCAACAATCGGTCGTGTCAACTCGCAAAAATTTTGTGTCGTGTTCGTGTTGATGTATTCGTATCGTGTCAATCCGTTTTGACACCCCCACCCACAAGGCATCCAATTGTCCCTGAGTCTCAGACTGTAGGACGATTGTATGTTATTATTCAGCTGCAGGCGAAGAAAGCGCCTGCTATGGTGAAAGATACGATCTATATTGATAATTATGATATAGATGTTTTATTTGATACAAGGGCTACTCATTCCTGTATTTCGAATTTTATGGATGTGGGCTTGAATCTGCATATGTGTAAGGTATCTCCTCCTATGAAAGTAACTACAACTACTGGGGAAAAGTGTGGTACTTTCTACATATGCAAGGATGTCGAGTTTAAGTACGAGGGCCGAGATTATGTAATTGATTTCGTTTGTCTACCCATGATTGGTCTTCAGGTTATCTTGGGTATGGACTGGCTTTCTAAGAATTGTGCAACGATTGACTATTGTGGTAAAAGGCTAGTGATGTTATTTGATGAGTCTGTTACTAGCTCCTCTCCTATTATATCAATACTTCAAGCCAAATAGGCCTTGGAGGAGGGAGCATTGGGCTACATATGGTTGGGAAGATTAGTGAGTAGCACTAAGGATAAAATTGCTGATATTTCGACTGTGAATGAATTTATGAATGTATTTTCGGATGAGATTTCTCATCTTCCACTAGAGAGAGAAATAGAGTTCTCCATCGAGTTATTGTCAGGTGTGGGGCCTATCTCTATAGCTCTATATTAGATGTCTCCTTTAGAATTGTCTAAATTGAAGAAATAGATTGGAGATTTATTAGATAAGCAATTCATTTGAATGTGTGTGTCCCCGTGGGGAGCACCGACGTTATTTGAAGAAGGATGAAAGCATAAGACTTGTGACCAACTATAGGAAGTTGAATAAAGTGACTGTAAAGAACAAGTATCCTCTCCCTCGCATAGATGATTTGCTTGATCAGTTGAGAGATGCTTGTGTCTTCTCAAAAATTGATTTGAGATCAGGTTACCATCAGATTCTGGTAAAGCCAGATAATATTCTAAAGATTGCATTTAGGTCTAGATACAGACATTATGAGTACCAGGTAATTCCTTTTGGTCTCACTAATACTCCGACAGTATTCATGGACTATATGAACCGTTTGTTCAAGCCATATCTGGATCAGTTTGTGGTTGTGTTTATAGATGACATTTTGACAAAAGAGACAATAAAAAATTGCATTACACAAGGAAAATGAAAAAGTTAATCACATTTTTCATCATAAAATACTGTAATTTTAACTGAAATAACATAATTCTATCAACATTAATCCCTTGAATTAAAAAGATAAAACCACCATTTTCTTGGCAGTTTTAGCAAAGTTCTAACTTTACTTTTCATAAAGAAAGCAAATCCGCGCAAACGGGGGCGTTCTATCTCATGGAAAAGTGTTTATTCTTTTAAAATGATATAATTTTTATTATTTTATTTTCATAAAGAGTTAAGACCCATATCTTTATATTTTTTTATTCACTATCTTTTTCTCATTTAAAACGATACAACTTTACCCTTAAATGATACACATTTCTCCGTAAAAATATAAGTCCCTTTAAATATAAGTCGAATATGTACCAAAAAAAATATATATATAAGTCCAACTATTTTTTCCATCTCAAAGTAGAACTCAATCATTCACTCCAATTCCAATCCCTTGGTTTCTCTCCTTGTAAGCTGTGACAAGGTAAGTGGTTATTTGATCCTTTGCAACCTCTCTTACCTTTATGTCACCTTGTTTTGTCAACTACCCTGTCTCAATGACTAGAACGAGGAGTACTACTATCACACTCGTGTTGTTGATTTTATCCTTCTCTGCCATTTTGCATGGTGATTCTGCAATGGTCTCTGATGGGGTGACTCTATTGTCACTCTTGACTCACTGGACCTTTATCCCCCCTTTCATAAACTCGAGCTGGAATGCCTCTGATTCCATTCCATGCTCATGGGTAGGAGTTCAATGCGACCATGACCACCATGTGGTCTCCCTTAACCTCACTGATCATGGGATTTTTGGTGAACTTGGGCCACAAATTGGAAAATTGTATCACTTGCAGACCCTTGTGTTGTTGGGTAATGGTTTCTCAGGAAAAGTTCCTTCAGAGTTGAGTAACTGTAGTTTGCTCGAGTGTTTAGACCTTTCTGAGAACAGCTTTAGTGGAAAGATACCATATAGCTTGAAAAAGTTGCAAAACTTACGGCATATCAGCTTGTCTTCTAATCTGCTAACTGGTGAAATTCCAGATTCCTTGTTTCAAATTCCTCCCCTGGAAGAAGTGAGCTTGCACAGTAACCTTCTTAGGGGTCCTATCCCAAGCAATATTGGGAATGCTACTGAACTGTTGAGGTTGTATCTATATGGTAATCAGTTGTCAGGGACTATTCCTTCATCCATTGGTAATTGCAGTAAGTTAGAGGCTTTGTTTTTGAATGAGAATAGATTGAATGGGGTTCTGCCTGAGAGTCTTAACAATCTCAAAAATGTTGTTTATTTCATTCTCAGCAATAATAGTCTTGGAGGTACCATCCCACTGGGTTCTGGCAGCTGTAGAAGATTGTTTATTTTGGATCTTTCGCTCAATGTATTTAGTGGAGGTATTCCCTCTGGCCTGGGGAATTGTAGTGGTTTAGCAGAATTTTCTGCAGTGAATAGCAACTTAATAGGCAGAATCCCATCATCCTTAGGCTTACTAGATAAGCTTTCTATTCTTCGCCTTCCCCAGAACCATTTATCTGGGAAAATACCCCCAGAAATTGGTAACTGCAGATCTTTGAAAACACTACATTTATATTCCAATCAACTGGATGGAGAAATTCCTGATAGATTGGGACTGCTAAGTGAATTAGAGGACCTTGATTTGTCTTTTAACCATTTGGCAGGTGAAATTCCAGCCAGTATTTGGAGAATTCCAAGTCTTAAGCACATCTTGGTTCACAACAATAGCCTTTTTGGAGAACTACCTTTGGAGATGACAAAGCTCAAGCATCTCAAAAATATCTCATTGTTTGACAACCAGTTCTCTGGAGTCATACCTCAAAGCTTGGGAATCAATAGCAGTTTAGTGAAGTTGGACTGTAACAATTATTAGTTCACTGGTAGTATCCCTCCCAATCTCTGCTTTGGAAAGCAGTTACGTGTTCTTGATATTGGAAGTAATCAACTTCAAGGTGGCATACCTTCTGATGTAGGAAGATGTGCAACTCTAAGGAGGTTGATTCTCAAAGAAAATAATTTCACTGGGCCTCTTCCTGATTTTGTAAGTAATCCGAACCTCTCATACACGGACATAAGCAAGAACAATATCAGCGGATCAATTCCATCAAGTTTGCAAAATTGCACAAATCTCACTGAAATTAATTTGTCAATGAACAAATTTACTGGGCTGATACCATCAGAGATTGGAAAGCTTGTGAATCTTGTGATTTTGGATCTTGCTCACAACAACTTGGAAGGTCATTTGCCACCCGAGCTGTCAAAGTGTACTAAGATGGAACGTTTTGATGTGGGATTCAATTCCCTAAATGGTTCATTCCCATCAAATTTCACAAACTGGACGGGGATAACTGCATTAATTTTAAGCTGTAATCATTTTACAGGGGGTATCCCTGGCTGTTTGGCAGAATTTAGCAACCTACGGGAGTTACAACTTGGTGGAAATTTGTTTGGAGGCCAAATTCCTCGATCAATGGGAAATTTGCGGAGTCTGTTCTATGGGTTGAATCTGAGTGCTAATGGATTGACAGGTGACATTCCTTCAGAAATTATGAAACTACGAGCGCTGCAAAGTCTGGATGTATCCTTGAACAATTTGACTGGTGGCATATATGTTCTTGAGGATCTTGTTTCATTAATTGAGGTCAATATTTCTTATAATTTCTTTGATGGTTCTGTACCAGAATATCTGATGAGGTTCTTGATTTCCTCACCATCATCATTCATGGGTAATCCTCTCCTGTGTGTTAATTGTTCACTTTCAGATGGCTTGGGTTGCAATAAAACTAGTTATGTGAAGCCATGTGTCTACAAATCAACTGATCACAGGGGTATCAGTCGCTATGAAATTGTGATGATAGAACTTGGATCCTCAATATTTATTTCTGCCATGCTGGTAATAGTAATTCTAATGTATCTCCAGAGAAGATCTAAGCAGGAAATGATAAGGGCCTCCAGCACTCTTAACTATGAGCAGGAACTTAAGTATTTCGTTGCAAATGGAGGAGGAGGAAAGATTGGAGTAATATTTGATAGCCAAGTCAATATCTCAGCTCAAACGAACCCGTCTTACCTTGAAGACCTAGTGTTGAAGGCGACAGAGAACCTAAATGATCGGTATATAATTGGCAGAGGAGGCCATGGCATTGTATATAAAGCCCAACTGGGTCAGCGGGATTTTGCAGTAAAGAAGGTTACATTTGGAAGGAACAAGCAGAAGTATGCAAGTATTTTGCAAAAAGAAATTCAAACCCTTGGGATGATTAAGCATCGAAATTTGGTCGCATATGCAGACTACTGGATTGGAGAGGACTATGGTTTAATCGTATATGATTTCATGGAAAATGGAAGCCTTCATGATATTTTGCATGAAAAAAAACCCCCACCCTCCTTAACGTGGTATGTCCGGTTTAAGATAGCTGTTGGAATTGCTCAAGGACTAGCATATCTTCATCATGATTGTATCCCGCCCATAGTGCATCGAGACATCAAACCAAAGAATATACTTGTTGATGCTAATATGGAGCCTCTTATAGCTGATTTTGGTACTGCCCTGTACAGGAACCTGAATGAACATTCTAATAGTTATTCTGGTTCAAGGCCAACGCTTTCATCGCGCATTGCTGGTACTCCTGGCTATATTGCACCGGGTATCTAATTCTTCATCTACGCTTAACTATTGATTTGCACACACTTTCATAGCTGATAGTAACTGACACTTGCTAGGATGCGTGTTGAGATATATAGTCCCACATTGATTGGATGAGCAACTAATATGGCCTTTATAAGGCCTTGGGCACTCCCACCCCTTGAGCTAGCTTTTGGGGTGGTGTATCACAAGGTTCTTTACATGGAATTAAAATAAAATAAAAAAGCACAAAAAGCTAAACCAAAAATGGGCCTATGCAATTTCCACCCTTCTAGCCTAAGGGGCTCTTGCGTGAGGGGGCGTGTTGAGATATATAGTCCTACAGTGCAATTTCCACGCTTCTAGCCTAAAGGGCTCTTGCGTGTTGAGATATATAGTCCCATATTGATTGGATGAGCAACTAATATGGCCTTTATAAGGCCATGGTCACTCCCACCCTCCCAACCCTTAAGCTAGCTTTTGGAGTGGTGTATCCCAAGGTTCTTTAGAATGCGATAATAGCTTCATTTTTCTTCACAGCTTGAAAGTGGAGTTGTGGAATATATAGCATTTCTCTAACTATCTTGCATTGTCCCCTGTAACAGAGAATGCATATGCAATAGTGCAGAGCAGAAAGTCTGATGTATATAGCTACGGGATTGTTCTGCTTGAGCTAATAACCAGAAAGAAAATATTAGATCCGTCTTTGAATCATAAAGAGGTGACCACTTTAGTGATGTGGGCTAGATCTGTATGGTTGGAAACTGGCAAAATTGAGAAGATTGTTGATTCATACCTTGCAAGTGCATTTACCAATTCAGCAGTACTAGCCAAGCAAGTCACTGCAGTGCTTTTGTTGGCATTACAATGCACAGAGAGGGATGCACGTAAGAGACCGACCATGAAAGATGTTATCAATTTCTATCAAAAAGGCGTGTTCAAGTTGAGGTGTGGTAATGTGGTTTATGTTGATGGTGATGAAGCTGCTGCAGTTGTAGCACAACAACCATATAGCTCCCTTAATCTTTTCCCTGATGTTCCAGTTGTCAGTATAGACCACAATCTCGATGGAGAAAGTAGCAGGGCTGCAAACCTGAGAAAGAGAGAAGTTACATTTAATGTGGAGACTAAACCTCAAGATTTTGATGATTTTAGCTTTTTGCAGGATGCTAATCAATCTCAGCCGGGAGTCTATGCTTGGGATGATTGGAAACTCATGTCTAGGCCTACAACTGGTATTGATGGACTTGTAATTAAACTAATGGGCAACGGTAAGATACAGGCTGAACAAGTAGCGGTTGTGGCTCTGATTGTTCCTAAAATTTCCTATACTTGGCCTTTTCTGATCTATCTTCCCTCTGTAATTGGTCCAGTACTCACCAAACCCTTCAACTGGTTTTTCCTCTCACGTTGGGCTCAATATCTGCACCTGCAGAAATCATTAAATTCACAGCCCATAACCTACTTTATAACACCAATAAAGGCCACTCTTCAACTTAGTAATCATAGAGATTTCGAAAGTCCCTATATAGCCAATGTTCTTCAATCCTTAAACAAGGAGAAATACATGGCCTGTACATTGACCTTCTCTTTTTAGTCTTATCAGGAAATGGATACTGATGTTATCTCATCCAAACCAAGTAATGTTGTTATGCTTCAACATTTCTTGACTGCTATCTTGCGTTGACATCAAGTTTTGGCAATGGGATCTAGTTTATGCATATTATTATCTATTACAGCAGTGGAAAACTGGAAATTAATATTTAATTGGCTCAAGGAACATATGCACTTATATTCATAAATTATTTATCATCAATATTTTAAAATTACATTTGTGTATCTCTTGCATGATTCTCACAATAATATTCTTCAATGTCTATCTTCATAGCGCATCTTCATGATTATTTTACAGTGTCAGGCACTTATGTTTATACTGTATCTCATCATTATACTATTAACAAAAATGCATGCCTACATGTGACTTGCCTTACCTGCTGGGCTTTGGAAGTTGGAACTAACTCAAATCATCTTAGATCCCACTTTCATTCCTTTTCTCTTTATCAATCAAAACCCGCAATGGTGGTGTTATTGGTTTCTTTGTGACTTTTGAAGCTTTTATTTATGCATTTAGGAATCATAGGGCATGTTTGAATTCTATTTTCAAAAATAATATTCTAATTTTCAAAGAAAAAAAATCTGTTTGATAATATCTTTTTTGTAAAAATAATTAGCCATCCAATCCCCACAATTATTTTCTCTTATTTTATACATGCTATGGATCAACTCCTGCACTATAATTGTGCAATTTTTTTTTTTTTTGGTAATCATAATTGTGCAAAATTTATTACAATATCTTTTGTGTCGTGGTTTTGTACTGAAAATGCATATGATAATTTTTTTATGTTAATATTTATGGTTTATTTATCATTACACTTTAATTTTATTTTTAATTTATCAATAATATTGATATATTTTTAGTTAATTTTTATGTTTATTGTATAGTATAAATAAAAATGATGAGACAACAAAATTATTTGACAGCTAACCTAATCTAAATAATGACTATGTTTTTTCTTTAGTTCAACTGTTTTTTTTTTCTCTTTTTATTTTTTATCTAAGCTTCATATTTCTTATAAAAATTATAAAGTAAAATGTAGAATTTCCGGTTGCTTTTGTTCCTTGACCCATCCATTGTGATTAAAAAATTTCTATTATAAATTAGGGACAAGTTATATTTACAAACTTTTTTGTTTACAAACTCTTACAAACTACATTATCTTCCTCCGGGAGAACACTAGGTACACTATCTTCTCCCGGAAGAAGATAATGTAATTTGTAAAAATTTGTACAAAAAATTTGTAAACGGATCCTTCCCCTATAAATTATTTGAACAGAAGTTAACGGTATATAAATTCTCCAACTATACTTCACTTGTATTGGTTAATTATTTAATCGCTCATTCTAATTTTTAACTCATGAAACTAACCACTAATTAGATAAATTTAACTGATTCTTTAAAAAAGTTATGTGAATATTAATTTTTTGTATAGAATGGTGAATGAGATATGATCCTACAAGCCGAAGAAGATGACAGGAAGAAAAAGAAAACAAACGTCAGTGAAATTCAATTTCACAATTATTATACATATTAACAAGGAAAAAACAAGTATCATGTTGCACGACAATTCTTTTGTCATGCTATAGAGATAACTAGTGTGGGATCCACTATTTAAAAAAAAAAATGAAACACAAATATTGATGTATGTGTAGGAAACTCAATTTTTGTCATGTAACATGACAAATAGGGTTGGCAAAACGGGCAAACCTGGCCCGACCCGACCAACCCGCATTCAACTTAGAAAAAATGAGCCGGATTAGGGTTGGCTCGAAAAAAAAACGAGACAGAAAACCCAACCCAACTCAACCCGAGTTGGGTTAGGGTTGGCTCGCGGGTTGGCTAAAAAATATGGCTTGTGGGTTGGCTTGAAAAAATAGCTCGCGAGTTGGCTCGAAAATAGGCTTGCGGGTTGTCTCAAAAATTGGCTCGCGGGTTGGCTCGTTTTCAGCCTATTTAAATGACTCTGTAGTATTAATGCACCAGCTATGTGGCTTCCATTAGCTTAAAAAAAGGGTAACAAAATGAGAAATAAAAGCAAAATATTTTAGTTTCGAATTTTCTTCACAACAAATTTGCATCAACATCCAGAAATAATCAGAACCACTTATTACCAAGTGGGTAAGATATTTGAACCAAACAGAGCCAGCACAGCCTAACAATATAAAGATGGCAGGGATGTGAGAAGATTAGGGACTTAGGTTTAGATAAGGAAGAAAAATGATGACAACATGTGTGGGTTTTGTCCATTTTTTTATATTATATTTTATATTTTTTTATTAAAAAAAACTCAACCTACGAGCTGGCTCGTTTGACCCGCGGGTTGGCTCATTTTTTCACGGGTTGAAACGAGCCGGGTTGGCTCGGGTTAGCAGCTCATTTTTGCCAACCCAACCCGGCTCATTTTTGGCGGGTTATGAGCCAACCCGACGGGTTGGCTCGTTTTTGCCAACCCTAATGACAAATGCAAAATCCTATTAACATACAGGATTCACTTTTTCTGCAATAAGCCCAATACGACGTCGTGTTGGGCAGAAATCATAGTATTTTTATAATTTTAATTTATTTCAGGGTTATTATAGTGTTTATAATTATAAATTTTTAATCTTTCAATCCCAAAACGACGTCGTTTTGGAAGTAAATGCAGATAACTTATCTGCAGTAACTGCAGAAATAATTTTTTGTAACATATAACAGAAGAATAAGAAGTAAAATTAATTTTTTTTTCTAATGAAGGACAGCATTGTAGAAAAAAAAAGTGAGAAGAAAAATCAAAGCATATATGTTGATATAATAAGAGAGTTCGGTCTAAACTAAAGAGAAAAGAAATTTAATCTTTATTTAATACGTAATAGAAGGAAGTCATAAAACGAAGAAGAAAGTAAAATGAGAAATTAAAAATTAAAACATTTATGCTCATATGTTTCTAATAAAAAGGATGAACAAAGAAAAACAAATAGAAAAAACTGCATAAACTAAGGAGGGAAAATAATTTTTTAATCTTTTTATTTAATTTGTGTTATCTATAAATTTTTATCAAGTAGTTCACGCAATAATAAAACATAAAAAATAAAAGACTTGTGCTCTGGAATACATTTTTATCCATTCCTTTATTTATTCTACAAATTAAAAATTACAAATGATCATAGATTATTTTTTAATCTAAAAGTTAGATAACAAATTTATCTGAGAACCATAATCCGAGAATGAAAACAAAAATAAGGATCTCATTTTGAATTTTCTTACCGAAATGAAAAATCAAATAAATAGTTAAGATTTTTTTTTCATAATAAAAGTAATCAATGAGATTGAGTGAAAGTTAAAAAGGTCATTTTATTAAAAAAAAGTCATTTTATTTCTTCATTTCAGATTATTTCTTCTTCTCTTTTGGTAAATTAGATAGATTTACGACTGAAATACTATACATTTATTTTCCGACATGAAAGAAACATTTGGTAAATTTTCTTTCCAAAGATCAGACATAAAATTTCAAAATGAAACGAGATTGATATGATGTGTATCACTATCACAATTTACTAGTGAAAACAATTAGTTCATTACCACGTTATGAATCCTATTTATTAAGTTGAATTATTTATTTAAGCCCTCATTTATATATGAGGCAGGATCTTTTGACACCGGTGTCAAAGGAAAAGTTTGACACCTCATCTGAGAGTCGTTAGATTAAAAAAAATCAATGGTGTCACATGCTTACAAATCAGAATCGTTGATTTTTTTTTAATCTAACAGCTCTCAGATGAGGTGTCAAACTTTTTTTTTGACACCGGTATCAAAGGATCCTGTCTCTTTATATATTTGGTTCGGCGTGTTGTAACCAAACGCTAAAATCTAAATAAAAACTTAGGGTCCCATCCCAACTTACATAACTTCAGCCCAATTCATATATACGCCAGCCCAAGCTCAAACTCCAAAACATATTTTATTTTAGTTTTAATTTTCTTATATTTTTGTTTAATAGCTAAGCCCTTGGCAATAGTTCCCATCATAGCCCAAGAGAAGAGCACCAGAGGCACCTTGTCCGTCGTGACTATCACACAAATTCTGGTCTACACGCTTGATTTTACAGGTATGCCTCAGTAGATTCTGAAACTCGTCCATAAAAGTGAGTTCATTTAATCTGTTTGACAAAATGCCTGTGTGGGAATCGTGTTCATATCACTAGTTCTGTGTTTTTGGGTTTAAGGAACCAACCACTGTTACCCTTTGGTTCAAGCTAGGATTTTTGTGCATAGGGGTCATTTGGGCAGAGTAATGTCTGATAAATGATTAATGGGGTTCTTGAAAATTCGAGGGTGGGGGTTTTCATTTAAATAAAAATTTCAGCTTTAGTTTCGGATTTTGATGAAATTGTGATTGCAGGGTAGAAAGAAGTAGAGAAGAATATGAATAAGGATAAGATCTTCAAGCTAGCAAAGGGGTTCAGAGGAAGAGCCAAGAATTGCATTAGGATAGCAAGGGAGAGGGTGGAGAAGGCCTTGCAGTATTCCTACAGAGACCGACGTAACAAAAAGCGGGACATGCGTTCCCTTTGGATACAAAGGATTAATGCCGGTACCCGCCTTCATGGTGTATGTCTTCTCACTCCCTTTCTTCTGTTACTAATTAATCATCTTTTATAATTCAATACTTGACCAAGAAATTTAATATTGTTACTACTGTTTTCATCAAACTTTAATTGTTGTTTAAATGCTTGGTGATGTAATCGTTATGATTATGAACCTTGTTGTAACTCCTACATCTGCATGTATAGCTTTAGTAGTATTTTTACTCGAAGGCTTTGGCTGCAAAACCTATGCTCTATATATTCAGTGCATGTTTGGTAACAGCTATTTTTTGGGAAATAATGGTATTTTTTTAGCCTCGAAATAAGCTAATCTAAACACGTACTTAGATCATTGCTCCTTTCATAGACTGCATGCAAAATATATAGTCAAATTGTAGTATTGTTCATAAGGAGAATTTATGATTTGTCATGATATTACCTGAGATTTTCTTTAGCATTGTCTGGAGACTTTGGACTGGCTTCCCTGCTCTTTGGTTTTATGCTTATATTACTCCTTTCCCTAGTCTTATATATCCAGCATCTTAAAAAATGGATTGTGCTTTTGTTATTCTCTGTTACAAAAGTAAGACCAAACAACGGCTATTGTTCTCCGGTCAATTGTTTTTAGTTAGAAGCTCAGTTAGTTTTAAACAATGTGAGCTTTAGCTGATAGTAAATCCGAGAAAGGAGTTTGTGTTCTGTTAACTTTTCTTTATTTGAGCATTGTGGGATATAGATGGACTTTATCTTTTTTTGATGTGTGATAGAAGGAAGCCATGAAAATGAAAATGAAAATGAATTTCTTAGAAGCAAAATAGTTGGCTTAGAAGGAAATTTGGATTATTAGGTGAACCTGCTTTGGGATTCAAGTTAACCATATTCCCTGTACATAAATGACCATGGACTGAATACAAGGTGTGTGAGTGATGCAGTTTTAACCTCAAATGAACTAAATATTAGGTGAACCTCCATTGCTTGTTTTACTTTTGAGTTATAGGTAGAGTATGGACATATTCTTCTGCATGCACTGTGAGGTGTTTAATCTTGTTCCATTTCCTTTTTCAATTGATTTTTGCTTCAATTTTCCAGGTCAATTATGGGAACTTCATGCATGGACTGATGAAGGAGAATATCCAACTTAACAGAAAGGTTCTGTCGGAGTTATCTATGCATGAACCCTATAGCTTCAAGTCCCTGGTAGATATATCACATAGTGCATTTCCAGGAAACAAGAATGTGGTGGTTCCTCCAAGAAAGGTGGCCCTCTAGAGCATTTGGCACGTTAGCAAATATTTAGAGGTAGTTTATATCAGTATCGTTAATTATCTTCGAGGATTTCAGGTTTAGTTCACTACAAATTACTATCAATTTTGTATGCCTGTACTTCTTCACATACTCTTGAGTACTTTTTAACTAGATGATCTTCCTCCTCTGATTTCCCTTTCACTTGCTTGGGTGTCTGTGATATTGTATAATAAAAAACCTTGAGCAAAGGTATGGTTGGCTATATTTTGATCATTTGCTGCCATTATAGCGTTTGGAGTGTGGACAGAGTGAAATAGAACGGTCTGTTCTGTGCTGCTGTTCCTCTTGCTTCCATCTTTATTACTGGAACCATAATGTATCACTTTTTAATCTCATAAGTTCGTGTCTAGTTCTCCCTTTTTTTTTTAAAGAAAAAAATGTGCTAAACATAGAATTATGTTCTGTTCTGTTTTAACGCTTCCGGTTCTATCAAAAATAAAAAAATGTAACCAAATTTCTAGTTATTCTAAACCCAAAATTACGTGAGAAAATTCTGAAGAACAGTCTTATTCATGTGTCTCCAAGGGTGTGGACTATACCTTAAATCTGATAGTTTCGAAAGTGACAGCCATTAAAGTTATTAAATTTAATTTCAAAAGATAAGTTTATCATATAATGAATTTAATTTAGTAATTTCAAAAGATAAATTTATCATTACGATCTCTATAAATTATTATAAAATTAAGAATGCATTTGTATAAGCTTAAAGAAAGAGATTAAGGGATGGTTTGGTAGGAGTAATTTTTTTAGAATGCGAAGAAAGTAATAGTGGGATTCTTATTTACCTATGTTTAGTAGAAGTTTTCGCAAAATTTTCTCAGATATCTAATTTGCTCAGAATTTGTATCTATGTTTAAAATTTTCCTTCCCAAAATTCCTCCAAAGGAGCGGTATTTTTGGAATACCGGATGATGGGGTTTTGAGAGTAAATTTGTCGGATAAATCTACCCTTCCTTTTCGTGGTGCCCTAAGCATACGGATGACAGAGCTCTTCCCTTGAACATTGTGGAACACTGATCAAAATGTCACTGTTTATCAATTTTTTTATCTAAATGACATGTGAACAGTGTTATTTCTCAATCTGTCACAGGGACAAGTTCGTTATCCGGTGTAGCGAACTCCGTTTGTTGACGTGTCATATTTTTAGTGGATAATAAGTATTAAATTAAAAAAAAAAATGAAGTTCGCCTACATGGACAGCGAACTTAGTTAAAAACAAGTTCGCTTCCTCGTGTAACGAACTCGATGTTCACCAGAAACGTGACACGTCAGCAAACGGAGTTCGCTACACCGGGTAACGAACTTACCCCTGTGTCAGATTGGAAAATAACACTGTTCGCGTGGCATTTAGGTAAAAAAGTTGATGAGTGTCATTTTGGCCTGTTCCGAACATTGTCTTCATTTCTTCAACCAGATCCGTTGACAGAGCTGGTCTTCACAAATAAGCCACAATATCACCTTTCTCTTCAACTTCCCTAGAAGCACCACTAATCGGATCAGTAAATACAACTGATTCTGGAGTAACCGTTGAATCGTCGATCGTTTGGGAAGAGGAGTTGGAGCAGGAATTCGAAGCCTTTCTGAAGGTTTTGGCGGAAGGTTGCGGCATGGAACCAAGAGACAATGGAAGCTTCTGGAGAAGAGTTCAGCCATTTCATCAAGCTCTGTTTTTTTATTAATTGTTTTTCGATTTTGTTCTAATGCATGATTACAGTTTTATGAGTTGGAACTATGAAATTGTGGATGAAGAGTGAAGACGATGATGAGAACATGCAGATAACTAGAAAATTTTTAGTGCTGAGTCACCACAGTCCACAAACATAGGCACCTAATCTACCCCAACTTTGTAGAATTTTTTATTTTCAATGATTGTGGCTCAAGAAAAGCCAGATCCGTTGTTTCTCTGCGCGTAAGAACAACGTTCATTATCATGCTTGAATAACAAAGTGAAAATGGACTTATTTTTGTAAAATAATCTCATATTTTCACTAATATTATTATACAATCAATCAAATACAGACTCAGTAAACTTAGCCAAATAATCTCGATAATATTTTGCATATCAAACAGTTTTTTTTGTAATATTTTTGAGTAATTTATTTTTCCACCATATTCTTGAAAATTATGATTTTTAGGCCCTAAAATATTTCTCTTCTAATGTTATTAAAATATTTCCCTTAATGACTAATTTTTTTATGTTTTTGATAAAAAAATCTCTTTCAAAATTTGCTTTTTTTTTTTTTTTGTAAGCAAAATTTACTTTTTTAACTTAGAAAGTATTGAAATTGCTTTTTTCTCCCAACAAGTATTTCCTTTTAAATTTTTTTATCTGATTATTATTAAATTCTTTAGATATATTTATTTTAATTTAAAAGTACTTTTTCTTTAAAATTTATTAAAAAAATTGGGTCCTAAATTTGTGAAGTTAAAATGCCAAGTCACCATACTAAATTGTATTTTACAAGTCACGTTTGCAAAAAGACAGTTGCGAGGATCCATGTAGAAGAAAAGGGTGTTCTTATTAAAGTAGTTGTTTCATTTATCTCATATAAGTTTTTATTACATAGTAGGGTTTGTAGACAAGCTAAATCCAAATGAAAATAGAGGATCATAATGTTTATCACCAACATTCATTGGGAGCTGGTCAACTGTCTTGAACCATGTTCTTGCCAACTTGCCAGTGAATCCATAATCACCAAAGAGAACATCAGTGACTCCTTGGCCTTCAGTCCCTGGAAGCCATGCAGCCACAAGTGCATCTATTTTTGATAGATATGGCTGAATCACAACTTGACGGCCAGTGATGAGAATTTCTACGCATTTGATAGACCCACATACATTGTGGATGGTGCTTGGACCTGGCTCATCCATAGTCAGATTCTCACTATTACCAAAATTTTCTGCATAAGGGTATTCACCTACAACGATTATATATGGCATATGATAACTTTTTGGACTTGACATAGTTCATGTCAGGATTTTCCTTTTTTTTTTGAAGTTACTCAATCTTAATTATCTCTTTGAGACGAGTTGGCTCCCTCCGGTATCTCCACGAGCTTCGACTCTTTGAGCCGGCTATGGGACTACTCCGGAGTGCGGGGGAACCGTGATGGCTAAAGGTTCAACCCCCTCCCCAGAATGCATTCAGCGGGAATCGAACACATATCCAACTCCACTAACTCAGCGCCAAATTACCAACTGAGCTGCACTCATCCGGTCATGTCAGGATTTTCCTTGTATATGACTTTAGTAGGAGGATCAACTGTTTGTTTCACAGCATCAAGGATTTTTGTACCTGTTAGAAAATGGAATTTTATCAGGTATTTTTGTAATTATCCTACAAAAGGAAACCATGATAAAATATCTTAAGTTGCTCGCTGTATGAATGTTTTTCATGTTGTAACCCATGAATGTTTTTTATTTTGATTAAAATAATAAGATTTTAAATATTTTTAAGGGTTTTCGTTTTATCCTTTAACATAACACAACAAACTTTCCTACTCTTACAACATTTTGTGGGGCCCACACTTTTTAAAACAAAAAAATAAATAAAAAATTAAGGCACGCAAAACGAATCTCTATAACATTACACAATCACTTTTCCTACAACATAACTCTTATAAAACCCATCTTTTAAATACAATTCAAACTTGACAGCCAGACCAAAACTTTTATTTTTCAAAAACAAATCCAAGCAATTCTATAAGAGACAGGATCTGTTTACAAACTTTTTTGAATTTTTTTACAAATTATACTATATCCTCCCGGGAGAACATAGTTTAGTTTGTAAAAGTTTGTATTCTCCCGGGAGAATATAGTGTAGTTTGTAAAAAAATTCAAAAAAGTTTGTAAATATAACATGTCCCATTCTATAATTTAACTTTTATAATACTAATAAACCAAGTCAGATTTAAAACATTTTACATGAATTTAACCTATTTATGCTAAAACCTAACTTGATCAGACTCGATTACATCTCTAATAACATGGTTCTTAGTCCCGCCATTGGTTTATGTTTACAACTTTTTCAAGCTTGTGAATAAAAACATTTTTAGAACGAGAATTTGAGATTGTGTACAATTTTCTCAAAACTGATGATGACAATCTTTATCGATCTCTACTTTTAAGGTTAATATTATTTATACGGAAAAAGTTATATTTACAAATTTTTTGTTTACAAGCTACACTATATTTGACCGGTAAGACACTCTTGATTGAAGTCTTACTGGTCAGACATAGTATAATTTGTAAGTTTATAAAAAAAAAATTATCAATATAACTCTTTTCTACTTATATTATTATTTTAATATAAAACTGATTGTCAATTGGGGGTATAATAAAACCTCATTTGTTGTAGGGTAGTCTGGCCCAATATTGTCATGCATACGTGTGCCGTTAACTCTAGTTCTAGATATCTAAGGTAGGGTAGACTGTGGATCAGTTTTTAAAGCATGAAAGATCCGGACGCTGCTATCATGTGTCTGTCAGTTGTGGTTATGTATGTATGTTTTTATAAGCTATAAAAAACAACACATTTGAAAAGGTAGAGATGGGCACAAGAAAAAAAAATTATATATGCTGAATTCAGGAATTCAACCCCGTGACAAAAAACTAGATTGTTAAAACCAATTTTCATACTGGTAGTTTCCTTCTTCTTTTTAAATAGGTTTGGTTAATTATCAAAACATATTGATGTCATTAGAACATTCAAGCAAGATGGACATCACTTTAACCATTTCACTTATGCGGAGACATAATAAATGTAACTGTCCAGCTAATCCTTTTCCTTGTTGCAAAAACTACCCAGCAGAACTAGCCTATATGTTTCTCACTGTAAACATACCTCGTATAATTTCAAAATCTTTCACTAGCATGATCATTATGTGAAATAAAAATATTAAAAAAAACCACTTATTTTTTTACCAAAAGGATTAAAAAAAATGAAGAAAAAACAAACTACTTTTCTGAATTTTCTAGGATGATGAGCACTTTTAAGTCCTACCCATTTTCCATTTCAAGTATCTTTCTACAATGTCAAGTCCACAGAGTTCCTTTACCACAGGCATGGTTGCAGGGACCTCCAACTGAAATGTTGAATCTGGTCCATCTAAGTTACTCCATGAAAGAAGCTGTTTCCTTGCTTCTTTGACAGCTGCTCTCGTGGCACAGTGAACGGAAGCTGCTAGAAGCAGGGGCGGCTCGCCAGAAGCTGCAGCAACAAATTTCAATTTTTTTTGCATTCAATATTTTTGAACTGAAATAAGGGAAGCAATCTCAATCATATTAACAGTCTAAAACATCCACCTTCATATGATCAAAGTTGTTGGATCTACCTGAAGTAGAATAGAAGTTAGAGATGGACAATCAACTGACAAGAGGATGAAGTGGTCAAATGTACATAGGACTAGAGAGGCTCAAGTATGGGAGATAAGAGTCAGGCTAAGGCTGAGTAGAGGGAAGGTGTGTAAAGGGCTTGATTTCTGGTGTATAAGTGAGTGAAAGTGAGGTATTTATAGGCAAATGGGTGCTTTCTTGGTACATAAACCATTGCCTGTGAGCCCCATTTTCATGTGTGAGCCAAGGATATTCCTCCTGATGAGGTAATGCAATGTCTGGGAGTGAGGGAAGAGCATTTCTAGAGACTAAAGTCCTATGGTGGGGATAGAGGATTGGATACCCAAATGGCCCCAATGCACTCATCCAGAACAGTACCTATGTTGATTTATATATTATTGTAACTTAAGTAACTAAGACCGAATCGATTCAATATTTTAATATTGCGACAATCACAAATTATGAGTATATTACAATTTGAGACAGTTATCGCTTAGATTCAATTCAATCCATTCTTCAATTGTATAAACCTGACTAACCATTTTCTAATTTGAAAACATGCAACTTTTGCTTTTAATGGATCTCCATATGATTTGGTGTTATGTTTAGATTGTAATTTATTGCATAAAGTAAAACTACTCATAAACCTATAATGAATAAACAAAACAGAATGCATATAACTCCAAGTTTGAAGTATAATCGATATGCATTTATAGGGATGGAAAAAAAAAAAAATGCAGTCGTAATTGAATATATAGACAGAGTTTTGAGAACTCCTTGGTCATACCCTTTGAAGAAAGAACACGATGTTGGTGATGCCCGCTGTTGAGGATTTGCACATTAAACTGTTTAGGTATAGTGTCTATTGTAGGGATTTTGTAGTTCCATGTACCGTCTGCTAACACCAAACCATCCATATTTGTTTCGTATTCTTCAAGCATGAAAAAGCCCAACCCCTGGACAAAAGCTCCTTCAATCTGCATCATCCATTTATATTATTATAAAAGGAGTTTTTCAGATTTTATAACTTAATAAGTTGACAACTTCAGGAAAGCAAACCAAACCAATGCATCCCGTGTGCACTTCACTCAAAAAACTAGGGATTTTTTGCAACGAAATAAGAGAATACAAGGGGTTAGGATAATTGAAGTGATAGTGGAATAACTGAACAATAATTGTAAAAGACCATATACATTTTTCGACCACGAACTAAAAGCTTAAGTTTTTTTCGGTTGAATTGGTACTTTACAAAATATCAAACACTCATTGGCTAACTGACCAGGGGATAGGTTATTTTACCTGTCTCTTTTTCTGCCTACCATTCTGAAACACCATTAGATCAGAATCTCAACTAATATTTATCTTTCTCTCTCCTCTTGAGATTCTGATCTAACAGTGTTGGAGAGTGATAGGTAAAGGTAGGCAGAAAAAAAAATAGATAGAATAACATATCCCACTGACCAGAGACAATACTTGCTATTTCCTTTCTTTATAATTAAATTGAACTTAGCATGAGGAGTAGTGCGCCAATTCTTTGTCCATCGTTCATACCGAAAGGACTTTTACGGAAGAGGCCATGTTAATAAAGACTATTCTTGGACCTCCAACTCTAGTGTTAATTGAGCTTGCGTAACAAATTTGTAGTCAGCTTACCTGTCCTAAATCCACAGCAGGGTTGAGACTCTGTCCACAATCATAGATAATATCAGTTTGCAAAATTCTGGTTTCTCCAGTTAGAAGATCAATTTCCGCCTGAGAAATAATTTCCTTAATTTAGCGTAGCAGTATATGATAATTTGGCTCAATTACTTTAGTAATATGGCTTGTGTGACAATATGAAATAAGAACTTGACATTCAAGAGAAAGAATTTTCAACAAACTTGAAAAAAAAAAAACCATTTTGCATGAGGAAAAAACCTTACCTCACTTACAGCACCACCATAATTAAGGTAATTCGTAGAATTATTACTGGGTACATAAAATGAAGATGCTGATAAGTTCACAGCTTGCATGTATGCCTGTAAGTTGATAAATTGTCAGAAACATGATAATTAAATATTTTTGCTTGTGGGCTAGGAAAGTAAGAAAAAATACTCTTCCCTCAACCCAATTCCACAGTTTACTCCCGAAATATTTTCCTAACTATTAAGGGTAATTTGGCTCCCATAAGCATGCTAAGTGTCATTTTCCACATATTACAAGACCTCAACAAAGCTTGAGGCAACATATCTCATGCACAATTATAAATGCTAAGCTACATGCATCAATATGAATTGAAAAACACAAGTTTCTTAACCTATCAATTTTTAGAATTGAACTTTTACTTTTTAGTAGCTACCTGAAGAACAAGTGTCTCCCACTTTACAGAGTCCATTTGCTCCTGCAGCTTTTCCTTGAGAGGCTTTAACCTCTCAACCAAGATATTGCAACTAAGCCTAACTGCTTCGCAGCTTGACTCTGATGTAGTGCTCCCAGCTGTGAACCCCCCTTGAATCAAGCTCACCGAATCAGATTGTACAGCCCGTACTTTGTCCAAGAGACCCCCAGTTCCATCACATTGAATAGCACTGAGAGCAAATGCAGCCATCTGTTTCACCTTTGTCCATAGACCCTGACCAACTTCGATTCCTCCAACTTCAACAACGATAGACCCATCTGATAAAATACTTACTTTTCCAGGAGTTGGTCTTAGAGTCAGTTGAAACACAACTGGTACCCGAGAAATTCCCTTTTTTTTCCAAGTGTTAATCCTGTTAAACTCCTCTACCATTTTGTTTCTATTGTCATAGTTTGCAGAAACAGCTAACTTACTCCATATTGAAGGCAAAGTATACTCATGAGGTTCACCAAAACAATTCTCATAGAATGACTGAAGGCTTTTGTGTGTGTGAAGATTAATGCTTCTGACAGAATCTACATCCATTGAAAGTGTAGCTGCAACATTTTCTATTACAGCTTCAGCAATGAATGATCCCTGCACTTCCCCAGGGCCCCTCATTGCAGATCTACTAGGATGATTTGTTCTGCATACCTTTATATCAAAAGATAGGGCACCCCAGTCATACTTTTTAAGTGCGCCAACTATGTTATGCGGCATTATTGCACTTACATCCACATATATCCCAGCATTGACCAATATCTGAAGTTCTAATGCAGTAATCTTCCCATCATTCTTAAACCCAACACCGTATGTTATCTTCATGGGATGCCTTCCTCCAGCCATTATCATATCTGTCTTTCGATTTAGATACATCCTGACAGGGCGGCATAATTTGTGTGCTGCTAGTGCACATGATGCAGCAATCTGCAAGATCTGATTATCAGTACTTGGCCTATATTTTTTTTCATATATAACTTCTCTATTACAGAATCTTTTCTGCCATCTTACAGGATGAGATAGAACAAGGGAGAGGCAAAAGCACATAATATTTTGAAACCAGAAGGAAATGAAAAGGACAAAAGTATATAAACATCTTATACTAATTCAAAGCTTAATGTGAACACAGTTATATCATGTAACACAAAATGGAGTTCATATTTATAGCAAAGAACCAGAGAGAAGCTATTAACATGGATATTTTAAAAGGATGATGCCAAATCTGACAAATTATATTAAGTTGCATTATATTCCACATTTATCCTTTCTATTCCCCGGATCCCCAAACCTGAGGCCCATTTGATGCTTTTCCAAAATGAGCTATTTATACCACTTCAAAAGTATGGCTAGTTTAAACATATTTCTACCTCTTGGGTTTTTTCAATGCATGCATTGTCTTTCTACCTCGCATAAAGCTTTTAGCTGTGTTGTTCTCTTTCCTCTCAGTTTCTCAGGGTTTTTTTTTTTTTTTTCTGCTCAAAGTTCTCCTCTATATTGGAAAATTCTCTTATTTAGGAATCTTAACACCCACCAAGCTTCTGGTTTGATTTGCATGGCAGTAGGCATCCTTTATTCTTTCACATTTTCTTTCTCCTGGCTAACAGACATGGATTTTAGATTCTTCCGAATGTTCACGAGTAATCTACTTTTATTCTGGGAACCCTTGGACTCATAATACTTTTGTTTTTGAAAGGTTAAAAGCTCCATCTAGGGTTAAGGTTTTTCTTTGAACAATGATAAGACTGGAAGTAATATATCAGAGTAAAGAACGCACACAGAAGAGTTTTGGCCCAGAAATCTGGATTTTCTTTATATTAATCAAAAGAGTGAAATGCTATTACAATGAACTTTCAATCTAAAGCTTAAAAAGGACAATTACAGGAAATGACTAACAAATTCAGTGCAATTAAAGAGGCACTGATCTCTCCCAAGAACTCCCAATTTCCCCACCTCCTTTATCCTCTACTTTATTCAGTTATATAACCCAATGAGGCCCCATTACACCTCAGCACCATGCTCCGCACGCACTACTTCCTTTCTAACAGAATTCCCATCAGCCTCAGCAACAACAACTTCAATATTCCCTCTTTCCTCTGAGTCAGCCTTGAGAATTGATCCCCTGTGACGCTTTCTACTGTACACCTTAAGAGGGGTCTTATCAATACTCCCCCCTAAAACCTTCACCTTGTCCCCAAGGTGAAATTCAGGGAATTGAAAATCAATTTGAGCTGAGTCTTCCCATGAATTTTCAAAGGAAGGGAGCTTCAACCATTTAATCAAAACTTCCACACGTCCCATGACATTTTTTCTCCACTGCAGGACAGTTTCTGGTTGAACACTAAGTTCCCATTCCTCATTCAGCATAGGAGGAAGAGGTTGCACTGTATCCGTGGATGAAAGAGCTTTTTTAAGAAGTGAAACATGGAAGACATCATGGACTTTACATTCCACCGGTAACAATAACCGATAAGCAACCGCCCCAATCCGTTCCACTACTTCGTAAGGTCCATAAAATCTCGGGCTAAGCTTCTCATTTAATTTTTTTGCAAGTAAGCGTAGACGATATGGCTGAAGCTTGAGAAAGGCTTTGTCACCTACCTGAAACTCCACATTTCTCCTATGCTGATCTGAGTGAGCTTTCATCCTACTCTGAGCAATTAATAGGTGTTGCTGCAGCTCATGTAAAATTAAGTCACGGTCCTGTAGCATTGTGGAAATTTCATCTACTGGTGATATAGCAAAGCTGGACCGAAACAGTGTAGGGGGCTCACACCCATATACTGCCTTGAACGGAGTGGTGCCAGTGGCTGTTTTGAAGGTAGTGTTGTACCAAAATTCAGCCCAATGCAACCAAGATGACCATGTGTTGGGTTTAGGCGAGCAAAAACAGCGGAGATAATCTTCCAAGCATCGGTTTACTACCTCCGTCTGGCCATTGGTTTGTGGGTGATAAGATGTGCTATATTTCAATTTAGTACCACTGCAACGAAACAACTCGGACCAAAAGGAGCTAAGAAAAACTCGGTCCCTGTCACTGACTATGGACGCTGGAAATCCATGAAGTTTGACTACTTCTTTGATAAATAAAAGAGCAACTACCTTGGCTGTATAAGGATGCTTTAGAGGGATGAAATGTGCGTATTTAGAAAGACGATCCACTACTACGAAAATCGTGTCATAACCTTGGGCCTTAGGTAGTCCTCCTACAAAATCCATGGACAAATCAGTCCAAGCACTTGTAGGAATGGGCAGTGGCTGTAGCAACCCTGCAGGAGACAAAGTGGACACCTTGTTTTGTTGACACACTGGGCAAGCAGTCACATATTCCTTTATTTTTTTGTTCATGCCCTCCCAATACACTAGACTGTTAATTCTTTTCAAAGTTCTCAGGAACCCCGAATGTCCTCCAACATATGAATCATGGAACTCATGCAACACCATTGGGATGAAGTTGGAATCCTTGGCTAACACCAATCTGCCCTGGTGATATAAACGGCCTCCATTGAGGCTGAATCCATCGTGAGACTGAGGATTGGCCACTAAATCTTGAATAATTCCCCTCATTCTGGTGTCCTCTTGTAATTCTCGTTCCAACACATCATACTTGCTAACATCCATACAAGAGAGGGAGTAGCATTGCATATTGCGGGATAAGGCATCAGTAACTTTATTTTCCTTACCCGGTTGATAATGAATCTCAAAATCGTAGCCTAGAAGTTTGGATACCCACTTTTGCTGCTCCTCCCCTAGCATACGTTGTTCAGTTAAGAATTTCAAGCTTTTCTGATCGGTTTTGATGATGAAATGCCTACCCAACAAATACGGCCTCCACTTTTGAACGGAAAACACAATCGCCATTAATTCTTTTTCGTAAACCGATTTTTTCAATGCCCGTGAGGAGAAAGCCTGACTGATATAGCTGAGAGGACGATCACCCTGAGTAAGCACTGCTCCCATTCCCCTTCTTGACGCATTTGTGATTACAGTGAACGTTTTGCCAAAATCAGGCATTGCTAAAACGGGAACGAAACACATGGCATTCTTTAACAACTCAAAGGCAGATTGGGCTTCATTATTCTAAAGGAAGGCATCCTTCCTTAGCAAGTCAGTTAAGGGTTTTGCAATCTGTCCGTATCCTTGGACGAACTTCCTATAGTAGCCCGTTAAACCCAAGAATCCCCTCAGCCCCTTTATGGTTGTAGGAGTAGGCCATTGAGACATGGCTGCAATCTTGGAAGGATCGGCCTTTACTCCCTCTTTTGAGATTAAGTGGCCTAGGTATTCAATTTGCATATGTCCGAAGCTACATTTCTTTTTGTTTGCCACCAAACTCTGCTGCCTCAAGATACTCAGGACACACCGGAGGTGCTGCAAATGCTTGTCCATACTGTGACTGTAAATTAAGATATCGTCGAAGAAAACCAACACAAACTTGCGTAAATGTGGCTTCAATATCTCATTCATCAATGATTGAAAGGTTGACGGTGTGTTGGTGAGCCCAAAAGGCATCACCAAGTACTCGTAATGTCCCTCATGCGTCCGGAACGCAGCCTTGGGGATGTCTTCCTCTCGCATTCTGATTTGGTGGTAACCAGACTTGAGATCCAGCTTGGAGAAAACACTGGCCCCTCCTAACTCGTCTAAAAGCTCTTCAATAACCGGAATAGGGAACTTGTCTGGTACGATGAGCTTGTTGAGAGCCCTATAGTCCACGCACACTCTCCAACTACCGTCCTTCTTCCGAACCAGAATCACTGGGCTCGAGTAAGGGCTGATACTTGGTCTTATCATCCCTGCAGTGAGCAACTCAGAAACCAATGATTCAATCAAGGATTTTTGGTAGTAAGGATACCTGTAAGGTCGCAAGTTTGGCACCCCACTCCCAGGTTTCAGCTCAATAGCATGATCATGGCGTCTGTGAGGGGGTAGGCCTTGGGGTTGTTGGAAGATGTCATCAAATTCTGTCAGCAATACCGAAAGCTCAGCCCCATGTACAGGATCCGTTGCTGCCTCTCCGTGAACCCACTGAGGCCCAACAATGCAACCTTGACCGCTATTCTTCAATGTTTTCACCATTGAACGCAACGATGCCCAAGCTCCCTTACGCGACAGAGAAGGGTCGTCGTGTAAGACCATTGCATTTCCCCCATCACTAAACTTCAACGTGAGTTTGTTGAAATCAGCCGTGATTTCCCCTAACTCCCTCAGCCATTCCATGCCCAAAATCACCTCTGCCCCACCCAAATCAAAAACGAATAAGTCCAAAGTCGTTTGAAACTCCTGAATTTGTAAAGCCACGTGACGGCACACCCCTTGGCTGCCCACCTTATGTCCGTTCCCAAGCACGACCTTAAAACTGCAAGAGTCTTCAATGGTTAACTTCAATCGTTCAGCCACCTGCCGACTGACGAAGTTATGAGTCGCACCACTGTCAACAAGCATCTTCACCTTGTCACCGTTCACCATACCCCACAGTTGCATACTTTGGTTTGAAGAAAGCCCTAAAACACTGTAGACAGAGAGTTGTAAGATCGCCGCCTCCAACGGCTGTGGTTCCTCAGGCGGTTGTAAGGTCTCTGTGCGCACCTCAACTGGTGATGGGACCTCCGATTCATCCAACGCGTCATCTTCTTCGACGACCAGCAACCGCAGATGAGCGTTCCGGCAACGGTGGTTGCGGTCCCATCTCTCCCCGCACTTGAAACAGAGACCCAGACGGCTTCGCTCATGAAGCTCCGCCTGACTGAGTCGTTCACCGCCACCTACTTGATTGCTACTCGAAGCTTCGAGAGGTCTGGGCTCTCCCTCAACACCCACGTTAAAAGAACGCGTAGGGTTTGCGTGTCCTAAACGCACGTCGTTCTGAACGGTTGGAGAAGCTCGATTATTGACACCTGGCGTGGACGTGGCATTAGTGGTCACGCTTTTGGCATGTGACTCAGTAAATACACCCTTCGTGGGCTGATGGTAGCGGCCCATCGCATTTGTCCGTCCAGACCCGAGCAAACCCAACCCATCCTGAACCCACGATGAATTCCTTCTTTCCAAGCTCATCGTCTTCCTCATCAAATCGGACAAGGAGACGATATTAGCTTGCATCAATTCAGTACGAAGGCTGCCATGAACCCCATGCAACCAAATCTCCTTCAACATAGCTTCATCCGCATATTGTATAGGGCTGATTATTCTTTCAAACTCAGCCCTAAAGTTTGCAATGCTTCCCGTTTGCTTTAAATTCATCAACTCTTGGTAGGGACTCCCTGTTAACTCCAATTGAAACCGGTCCATCACGTCGGTGCGAAAATCTTCCCAAGACGCATTGGGATTACCACGTTCCCAAACAAAGAACCAATTTAGAGCCGGTCCATCCAGGGTAACCATGACCGCGTCCAATTTCGTCCGCTCCGGAATGGCATTGACCAGGAAGTACCGTTCCACCCTGGTTACCCATGCGAACACATCATCTCCAGAAAATCGAGGAAGCTCCAATCTAGGTTGACGCGCAGGTCCTTCCCCAAGTGGGCTTCGCCAGTCAGAATCAGTGGATTCTGTGCTTCTCCGGCAAGAACGACCCCGGCGCGGATTGCCGTCCCCACCAGTTCGATCTCGTCGACGGGGGTTACGTCGTAATAAGGCTAAAATATCATTGAGCCTCTGGTCACTTTGTTCGTGACGTTCTTCTGCTAACGTCTCCATCCTCCTTAGACGTTCTTCCACAACTTCCAAGCGATTATCCATGTTACGGGTAACAACCATTCAAAGCACCCCAGGATCGGAGTGCTCTGATACCAGTTGATAAGACTGGAAGTAATATATCAGAGTAAAGAACGCACACAGAAGAGTTTTGGCCAAGAAATCTGGATTTTCTTTATATTAATCAAAAGAGTGAAATGCTATTACAATGAACTTTCAATCTAAATCTTAAAAAGGACAATTACAGGAAATGACTAACAAATTCAGTGCAATTAAAGAGGCACTGATCTCTCCCAAGAACTCCCAATTTCCCCACCTCCTTTATCCTCTACTTTATTCAGTTATATAACCCAATGAGGCCCCATTACACCTCAGCACCATGCTCCGCACGCACTACTTCCTTTCTAACAGAATTCCCATCAGCCTCAGCACCAACAACTTCAATATTCCCTCTTTCCTCTGAGTCAGCCTTGAGAATTGATCCCCTGTGACGCTTTCTACTGTACACCTTAAGAGGGGTCTTATCAAACAAATTATCCTAAAAACTTAAGTTGTTGAAATATTATAGATAAATAAAAGCAATGAAATGACCATAAAGGCTGTTTTGTTATATTATCAGTGACTTCTCCAAACTACAGAAAATTCAAAGCTTCATGTCTACACTCTACAACACTTACTAGCTAGTCATACTAAAAAAAGTGATAAGAGATCTAATAATAAATTAGAAAGATTTTCAAAAAATTAATGCACAACCAAATACTTACAGCCGTGGCTTTTATGGCCTTTCCGCCAAAACCTCCTCCAACCCTTCTTGTAATTACACGAACATTACTTTCAGGAATACCTAGGCATCTTGCTATAGTAGAATGTGTAACCTCAGGGCACTGGCTTGAAGAGTAAACTGTAACGCAATTGTCTTCATCTGGTACAGCAAGTGCAGTTTGTGACTCCATATAGAAATAGTATTGAGACCCAAGTTTCATCTGGATTTTACAATGAAATTACAATAATATATTTGACCAATATAACCATTTTAACGTTAATTATTCAGCAGCAAACTTAAAGATCACATCTCACATCAGAAACCAAGGTAGACAGCCACAATGGTGTGAAATGAGAGGAAGAGGGGAAACAAAGGAAACCAAAAAATATATTCCATGTACCTCAGCAGAAAGAATCTTTTGATCTGCTTCAGCCATTCCTTTCGATATATCACCAATATGTTTTGGGTAGAGAAAAGGAGGAACTTCAAAAAAGCTAGACCTTTCAAAAGCATCTTCAACAGATAGAATAGGTGGTTCAAGATTTTCAATGTCATAATCAACAGCAGCTGAGTTTGCAGCCATATCTGCAAGCTTCTGAGTATCTGCGACCTATAGAAGCTATTCGGTGACTAAAAAGGTAGTATTTAATGTATCAATCTCCAAAGAAATGAAAAACAAGCTCATACATTGCTGGACCAAAATGAGGGATTTAAGAACTCACCACAAATGCAAGACGTTCACCAACACATCTGGCTAATTCTTCTGCAAATAAAGGTTCTATACCAAATATAGTCTTAGATCCAATGTTTTCCCCGCCATTGGGAATGTCTTTACTTGAAATGATATCCCTCACTCCATCCAGTAGCAATTCAGGCCTGAGTTTTATACTCCTTACCCTTGCTAAAGGTTTCGCACTATAAATATATGCTCCATGTAGGCAATTTGGTGGTGATGGAATGTCATCCACAAACACAGCCTCACCTATATATGATTTATTCATAAACATGTACCTGTTACTGAACAGGAATTAAAACAATTAAAAATGAAAAATCAAAATTGAAAGGTGCCAAAACAGGATGAAATAACACTGTTTAACGCACAAAAACTAGTTTAAAACCTGCATAGTGCACCTGTATAGCATAGTTGTCTTAACAATGGCTAGATAGTAACCAGAGACAGAAGGGTGCAAAATATGGATACACGATTTGATTTGAACCAAGAAATGGGAAACAGTTTTTCTTTAAACATAGTGGTTTTGACTTCAGCTACATTGTAATCAGTTATAAAGATTGCCACAAAATGAATATAAATCTACTCCAAGGCAAAACAACAGCAATGACAAAAGGGAAAGTTTTAGGGAAGGAAATTTTTTTTGTCATGTTTGCTTGCTTACAAGCTCCTAAGGAGAAAGAGAGACATTATTTTGAACCTCAAAGAGGTTGATGCCACGGAACTAATATAATGTATAATGGACGGTTCAAAACACGAGCCTGCTGCCATTGTAAGATCTAGAAAGTGTCAGACATATGCAGCCTTACCTACATAAGTAGAGAGGCTGTTTCTACGAGTAGAACATTTTGACCAACAGGTCAGTGCCAGCAAATGGAATTTAGTATGAATAATGATAGGCATGTATTATAAAACCATTCATGCGTTTGCACCTAGCAGCTTAAACTTTTGGGATAGTTGACTCATGACAAGCCTCTATGATCAAGTAGTCTAAAGTTCGATCTCTTTTATCCCACTATTTTAACAAAATTTTGAATTATAACATAAGATAAGTGGACCGGTACATTGTCCACAAAAGAGCCATTTGTGTTAGGGATTGTGTTAGAGATGTAATATAAAACCATTCATATCTCTTCACCTAACACCTTTAGCTTTTGGAATAGTTGGTTTAGGAAAAATAAAAATACCAACTTCTCTCATGTAAATATTTAACTTCACAAATTTGAAATGTCGATAGAAATGCAAGAAAAAAAAAGCAGTCGGTAAATTAATTCAAAACTTGATGATACAAAACAAACCTGAAGCTTGTAGTGCAGCTCCAGATTTCACGATTGGCTCACCAATGGGATGATACTCACTACCTGCTTCAAGGACTTGCTTCCCAGATGAAAGTAAAGTTGGAATTTTTTCATGATGAACCTGCATCTGATTCTCTTTTACTTCAAAATCCTTCACAAAAGGCAGATTAGTATATCCATTTGAATAACCATTGGTTATTCCAGAAGGACTGTCAATCAGTGGGCTAAAGAACTGGAAAACAAAACCAGCTGCCAAACTTGAACGGTACGTGGTTTTTGAGTCTTCATCTTTAGGTACAATAGTGGCTGTAATCAAGTTGACAGCTTCGTACAGAATGTTAACACTTAACAGCTTTCCTGCCAAAAACTCCTCAACATTTTTTGCTCTGATTGCATGCTTAGTCCCGTAAGCACCAAAAGACAGCCTACAAGTGTCTATCACGGTTCCACCAGAATCCTTGCATGGAGACACCTTAACTAGGAAAGCAGCATTTAAGTAGGGAAGGGCATTCCCAAGGGGTCGAGGAGAAGCTCTGTAAGATTCAAAGAGAAATCTACTTCTTTGTTCTGAAGATTCACTTTTAATAAGTTCCAAACTTGGAATTTTAATGCTTAGGAGTACACTTTCCAAGCTTAATGGTGGTCTTTCCAGAAATTCCTCCAATGCCAGCCACTCAAAATGTGAACCAGTCATTATGTGAACCATTGAGTCCACAGCAAGAAGTATTGTAGCAATATCCGAGGGAAAATGATTCTTTTGTGCCATCACTAAATTGCCACCTACACTGGCTGTGTTCCTAATAAACCCTGAGGCAACTTTGTTCATATGGTCAGCAATCTTTTCAAGTATCATTACAAAATCTGAGAGAAAGTCACTTCTGCTCTCTTCCTTCAGTGCTTTAATAGCTTTAGATATTGTCACTGCTGCTCCAATTTCGACCCCTGTTCGATCTTTTCTGATCTTTGAGAGCTCAGAAATTCCCCTTAGATCAATATACTTATCATAGCCTTCTATATCTTTATAATATCCCGTACCTGTATTACTAACAAGAAGTCTTATCCGGGTTCCATTGGATTGGTTTGATTCCAATAAGCTCTGAAGCTCCTTTAGACTAGTAGGTCCGTGCCAACTGTGTTTCTCAGAAGCCAAGAACACATCATGCTTGATTTCCTTCAGAAACAAAGGAAATCTACTATTCTTGCGATCATGGTCATAGTGAGGCAACCTACTAAGCTTTAAGTCCTTACTATCTCCCTTTCTCCAGAAAGAGTTGAACCCCAAATCCTCCATATCAACATTAGATGCAAAGCTTTTGCAGGCATCAGCAATGGGTCGATACCCAGTACAGCGACAAAGGTTCCCTGAAATAGCCTTTTCAGCCTCAGAAACAGTTACTTTTGAGAACCCAGAAGGTGGCTCAAGACGATTAGTCTTTTCAGCATTGACAAGAGTCCCATAGAGTGAAACACACATTCCAGGAGTACAAAAGCCACATTGAGTAGCATGGAATCCGGCAAATCTATCATGAATTGAGTGGTATCCTTCTTTACTATTTCCAATGCCTTCACTTGTTGTTATTGAACACCCATGTATACTGCAAAGTAGTGTGAGACAAGAGCTTGCTGTGAAATCCTCAACTCTGTCAAGCACAGGATCATATTTGGAGATTAAAACAACGCAAGCACCACAACCACCTGAAACCAACCATGTCAAATCATGAAATACCAAATTGAAAAAAATAAAATAAAATTCTGAGGACTATGAAAATTCAACACCTTCTATTTGTTCTCCTTTTTCTCAAATCTTGCTGTTAAAAAAAGCTTCTCCTTTTCTTTTTTTTTATCACATGAACAAGAAAGTTACTGATATAACTGAACAATAATTGGAAACATTACAAGCTCGTATATCCTTAGGCCCCAAACAATGATCAGAGTAATCCAAGTTTCCATATATAACTCTTCTATTATCTCTGCTTCTTATGACGAAAAGAAAAAGTGTACTGGACAATTTAAAGTGATCCATAAACAGAAAGGGACTGCAATAATTGAAGAAGTATCCAACACATGCAGACCAACATTCAATTAACCCATTCGATCTGGAATTAGAAAATCATTCCAAGACCATAAAAATCCATTCAGGACTTCACCGAGTTAACATTAAGAATCATAAAAGCATGAGATTAATTAATCTTATTGAAATAGAAAGAAAAAATGATTCCTTGTAGTCAGTATCAACCTTATTTAAAAAATAAAAAAAAAAAAAAAAAAAAAAAACACACACACACACACAAACACATGTACCTTCACCACAGCCGAGCTTGACACTCTTGAAGCGAGTGTGAGTACGCAAGAACTCGAGCAAAGTGGTTGATGGGTCAACGTTGGATAGCTCAAACCTCACACCATTAACACCAAAAACCAAACTTGTTGGTTTCCCACCGTTCGCCTTCACCTCCATTTCTGAGTCAAGGCCAGTTTCAGTTTACTGACAAGAGAACTACAAACTTTGTTCAGTTATATTTACAACATACAACATAGTCAACTGGTTTGGTCGACGTGGGAACATATGGTACGGTGGTTCTCGGTTCTGCAATCTTAACAGTTTCTTAATCAGTCAATGTGCAATGTAAGGTGAGATTTTGCACCAAATGTGGATTATAAAAATTGTAATTCTGAATATTTAGATTTTTTTATTTTTGCTCTTTTAATTTGCAGTTTGCACCTAAATAATAGATATTTGTGTTTTTTTTTTTATATATATATACCACATATATTATTCGTAAATTTCTTCCAAAAATAATATTAAAAAAAATTAAACATATAATATCACTTTATGTATTCAGCTCTTATGTACCCGCTAAATTTCGGAAGTGAATGGTCAGTGCTTACCAATTTTTTTATCTAAATATCACGCGAATAGTATTATTACGCGAACAGTATTATTTTTCAATCTGCCACGGAGGCAAGTTTGCTATCCAATGTAGCGAACTCGATTTACTGACGTGTCATATTTTTAGTGGACACCAAGTTCGCTACACAGGGTAGCGAACTTGTTTTAACCAAGTTCGCTATCCAATGTAGCGAACTTCACACTTTTTTTTTTAATTTGGTACTTGTTATCTACAAGAAATTTGACATGTCAGTAAACTGAATTCGCTACATCAAGTAGCGAACTTTTCCCCGTGGATTGAAAAATAACACTATTCAAATGACATTTAAATAAAAAAATTAATAAAAAATAATATTTTGATCAGTGTTCCCTGAATTACAGTAGTTTGTTATTTGTGCCTATTTTTCTTTTCATGCGACAACGCACGGTTCCAAATTCAACCTAAACAAAACACGTCATGAGATTCTCAATTCTTTACCAATATTCGTCCAAGACGGCTGTTTTACTTCTCCTTTTTTTTAAGTAAATTTTTTTAATTAAAAAAAAAATTGAACAGAAGAAAATTGTTTTAGCATTTTTCTTAGAAGTTAAAAGTAGCAGTTCCATTGACAAAAAAAATAATAGTTCCTAAAAATATATATATATCACCTACTATATATATCAAAAAAAAAAATTAAATTAAACAAACACACCCTTAATTATTAAATAATATATTGATCTTCGTGTAACTTAATTTGAAAATGATTATATAAGTCCACGCTTAAAATTCACGTGAGGGGTTAGGAAGGATAATTATTTCCCTTAGAATTCATCAAAGATTATATTTAAGTATTTAAAAATATAAACAAATGTAATATAAATTCGTCCCGTCATTTTTATTATTTCATTTATATGAAGAGAATTTATTTATTTTTAAATTTAATTATATATCGACCCATTTTAAATTTTAAAATTTTCACCTCTCTCACAAAATTGACTGACTTGATAGTCAAAATCTATAAAGGATTTTTAAAAATTTATACAGGTAGTTTTGTTCAGCTCATAATATCATTTATTAGGTAAATAATCGTCGTAATAAATTTTTTTGTAAAATTCACTTATTTCAAGAATACATCTCGAATATTTACATTATTTTTTTATTTTTTATTAACATTAAATTTCACAGATCTAATTGTTAGATTTAAAATTCTTTTTAATAATATGTATGATTTTGTGAAATTTTAAGATTAATCAGCATTTCGTTCAATTATTTTATTATAAAGTACAATATATTTTTTGACATATATGTAATTATTAATTTTTGTATTAGATATCTACAAAGGTTTAATTAACCTCAACTTGAATATTTATGATTATAATCATCAGGGCAAATCCCAGAAAGCTCTAACAATCGTAATAATGCCAAATAATTCATTAATCAAATTCAATATTGATAACAAAGTTATTAAATAGCTAATTCAAGATGTGCATGACAATAATTCTATTCCATAGAACTATTTTTGAAAAGAAAAATTCTTTTCTATTTTTGCTCCTTAAAATAGTTTTTAAGAAAAAAAATGTGTTTGATAACTATTATATTTTTATTCCGAAAATGAGAATTGTGTTTGATAACATAACTAATAATAGAATAAAAAATTATTCCTATTAAGCATAAAAAAATTTCCAATCATCATCACCACTTTCCTTTTCATATGGTGTGATGGTGGCGGTTGTGACATGATGGTGGTAGTGGTGACGGTGGTGATGATGGTTGTGGTGGTGTTGGTGACGGCGATGGTGGTAGTAGTGTTGGTGGTGGTGGTGGCAGTGGTGCTGGCATAGTGGTAGTGATGTTGGTGATGACACGGTGGTGGTGATAGTGGTCGTGGTCGTGTCGGGATAGTAGTGGTAGTGGTGGTGATGATGACAGTGGTGGAGAGCGATCGAGAGACAAGTGTTTCTTATTTTGTGTCCGAAAATTAAAACAAGCAAAAAAAATGATTCTTTTTTTTGTTCCCCAGCACAGAAATTGGATCGATTCATTCTCGAGAACAAAAAATAAATCAATTTTGTCAAATATTATTTTGATCTATTTCTAATCCCCAGAACAAAAATTAAAAAAAGAAAACTAATTATAAAAAGGTTGTCATGCATAGCTCAAGTGTCTTTGGCTTATTTAGAAGTGAAAAAACAAGCTAAAATTGAAACAAGCAATTCACAGCATGTTTGGCAACTTTTTTTTTTTTTAAGTTAAAAATTACTTTTAAGCTAAATCAAAACAAAAGAGTTTTAAAAATGAGGAATATTATACTTACAACCTATTTTTGTTTACAACTATATCTTCACCTTTAATTTTCGTCAATCAACAGTTATCATTTATTGCAAATTAATAATTAATTAATGAATTTGATTTGAGAAAATAATAACCGTTGATTGACGAAAATCAACGATTAAGATATGATTGTAAGAGGTTGTAAATGAAAATTGGTTGTAAGTATAATATTTCTCTTTAAAAATAAAGCTAAAAACAATTTAATAATAAATAAGCTGATACAACTTAAAAAAAATTCTCATATAAGTTTTTTGCTCTTGGCTTTTTTCTTCATAATGTAAAAACCTCTTTTTATTACAAGAATTTTTATAAAAACTTGTTTAACCTAGCTTCTATTTATAAAAAGTGAAAAAATAAAAAGTCATCCAAATAGCACTAGATTGAAACCAGGGACTCAGGAAAATTGCTTTATGTCTGCACATTTAGGGGTGGGGGGCTGCCCCCAAAATATTTGTTTGTAAAGAAAGTTTAAATTAACGCTTGAACTGCTCATAATCTAGTTACTTCCATAACAAAGGATGAAGAAATCGTGGGAATGAGTACGTGACACAGGTGGAAGAATAAGTTTTCTCTCTACTCAATTTGACTTGCTACGTTGTTTTAATCATCTATGTACGTTGCTACGTTTCTAACTAATATAAGAATAAATATCTTTTTTAGTCCCTAACAAAAAATCAAGTCCCCGCTTTAGTCCATTATAAAAAAAAATAGTCACTTGGTCCTTATAAAATTTAAAGTTGACTCATTTTAGTCTTTTTATGGGACTAATGCAGGTCTTTTTTGAATTTGAAAAGGACCACGATTTTAACTAAATTGATCCACTTTGAATTTCTGAGGGACCTTCTCGAGACTAATTTTTTATAAGGGACTAAAATAAGAACTATATTTTTTGTCATGAACTTAAAATGATATTTACTCTTAATATAAATATTGAGCCTAGAGACAAATAAGCATCTACATAACTAAAAAAAAATAAGTGCCCACCTAGGTCCCGCAGTGATTGAAACCCAGATAAATTAAATTAAATTTCCTTGTTCAAAAGATGATAATTGTTCAACTCAAAAGATCAATGAGAATATAAATATTTATTCAATTGCCCATCACAATTGGAATGATTGAATTCTTGTCTCTTTAGGGAAAAGTGTGTATAATTTTAAAGGATGTAAAGTTGTGTCATTTTAGGAGAGAGAAAGATATAGATAAAGGAGGAGAGAGAGTTGACAAAAAAAATAAAGGTGTGGGCCCCACCTCTTTGTGAGAGTGAAAGGATGTAAGTTGTGTAATTTTAAATGATAGACACTTTTCCCAATTCAAAATAATGGGTGAATGATTATGTAAACTTATGTTTAAATAAATGAGTCTAACGCTATAACGCAATTATTTATCGAAACTCGATAGTGTAAGTATATTCTAAAAGTGCATTGACATCATGCTCTTCGAATATTTTTATAAAGAATCACTTCGATCCAAAATCTTAAAATGTTATACATCTTAGATGAGGGTTTTTTAATAATTTATATTATTCTCTAATAACATATTCGCTCGACTTTAATTTTATAAACATTTATTAAAAGTTTATAATACAAATCATAAAGTGGATATTTTAATTTTTCAAATTTGAGGAGTTTCGAGAAACTTGTAGTGCTCTTCATCAGATCGATTATACCTAGACATGGTAATAAACTAATAATACAGGGTTAACTCACCTTCTTGCCGCCCATTAGTGATGAGTTGAGGACGCCGTTATAATGTCATTGATTGAGAACTTGAAGTGTTGGTATATTCATGTTAAAAAGAGAGAGAGAGAAAGGAATGGAAGAATGGAGCAGCACGTGGTATCAGTGAGGTGTACAATTTTTGTTGTTAGGTCAGCACCATAAAACCAACTTTTCCGCCACGTCCACTTCTTTAAAAATCAATATGTTTATTCATTTATGGTGGTGATTTTATTACCGAAAATCATTCTCTTACTCCTCAGCAAGAGAAAATGTTTTCTCTATAAGGGTCCGTTTGATACATTTCAGATGGAAAAGTTTCTTTGTCAAGTATCTGAACCCGAATAGGATCATACTCGGAATTCAAACCAGCAAGAGTCGCAATAAGATTGCTCATCTTGATGGCCCTGTTCCTGAACTCACGGATCCTGGTTTTGCTGTCTGGGATAATGAGGATTTTCTTATCATGACTTGGTTGAGGAATTCGATGACTCCCTGAAGTGGGTCGTCACTGTATGTTCTTGTCTTCTGCCATGGAGATTTGGGAAACTGTCCGCTTCACTTATTCCTTGAAACAAGATATGGCTGCGCGCTCTGAATTGTGCAATAAAATATTCACTACAAAACAAGATTCTTTATGCGTGACTGAGTACTATGGCACCTTGAAGGAGTTATGGACTGAACTTGATCAATTTCAGAGTTTGAAGATGAAATGTACTGCAGATGCTACTGCTTTAGCCAAGGAGGTGGAAAATGAGCGTATTTTTGATTTTCTTGCGGGATTCTTGGAGATTTTTGGTAAACTAAATTTTTCTAAATTTTTAATTTTCAGATATTATCTCGTAAACTGAATGTAAAAATCATATTTCTGAAAATTGAGATTCCCGAACAAAAAAAATTTCTTCTTTACCAAACGTCTCCTAATAGAAGAAATGAGTGTTGAGAGAGGACGGGGACGGGAATGATAGTGAAAGAAAAGAAGTTGCGGTACAACTATCAAAATATTATATTTTGGCATTTTATTTGTCGAAATATCATGTTTCATGAACAAATATCAGGATGTAACGAAATAGGATTTTTTTTAGCAAAAACTGGTTTCATTTTATACATTTCACGCAGGCACAGTATATGCACATCCAAAGTCTATCCAAGCCATTACTTGAATGGGTAAATATTGAGTTGCAAACTTGTTAACCGAGAGAATATCTCATTGTTTGTACAATATAGAAAAGAATAATGCAAAACCCTCACCAAGGAACAGTCCCAAATCCTTATCTTTGGGCAATAAAGAAATTGATTACATGTATGTTTGGGGTAAGGGGCATGACTCAAGAGAGAAAGAAGCTCACATTGCCTAGCATATAAGTAAAGTATTTTCTCTTTGTGTTGCATATGACAACAGAGAAAGTCCTTAACATAAATCAATCTTTGCACGAAAAGGAAGAACTAAATTTGAAGAAAACACAGCCAACGAGGTGTATATAAGTAACATAAGCAGAGATTTCATTCTCCAAGAGAAGAGGCAAATATATCTATAACACAGAAGCAAGAGAGAAGATAAAGGAGCAAATGTCGTTGGATCAAAAGACACGTGTACAACCACAAGCAGATCGTGTCTACGAAGATTTTGAACCATCCTTTAACTGGGATCATGACGAAGGAAGTGCCACGCTAATTGTTATGCTTCCAGGTTCAATTGATTTTGTTTATGCCTCTTTTCTTATAATAATATAAAGTTGTGTCATTTCAAGTGAGAAAAAAGATAGATAAAGAAAAAGAGAGAGTGGACAAAAAAATATAAAAGTGTGGGTCTCACCTTTTTTGTGAGAGTAAAATGACATAAGTTATGTCATTTAGAATGACACTCTTCCCAAAATAATTTGCACATATCTATCTACTATAATTTTACAGGATTTAGAAAGGAGCAATTGAAGGTTCAAATATCCTCAACCCGTATCCTGAAGGTGAGTGGTGAAAGGAAGATCAATGAGAACAAATGGCGTCGATTTCTCAAAGAATTACCTGTTCCTCCTAATTCTGACACCAGTGGGATTAGTGCCAAGTTTGATGATGGGAAGTTATATGTTAGGATTCCCAAAGTGATCACTCCCATCAAGTCACAAGCTGCAGCAACAACACCAACACAAGAAGCTCCAAAGCCTCAACAACCAACAACTAAGAAACCAAATGCTCGAGATGTTGATCAACAAAAGCCAGTGGAAAAAACTGAGGCACAAACACCATTCAAGGAACCAAAGGGAGATGAAGATTTTCAAAAGAAGCCACAAAACAAGGAAAAGGGCAAGGTAGAAACAGATGCCAAGGAGAGAGCAGAAGCTACAACCTCTGAAGAAGCCATAATAGATAAAAGGTCACCAACCCTGGAACTTCTTTCACGTCAAACTCAGGAATATAAGAATGCACTTTCTGGTTTGGTCGAAGAGGTTAAGAAGCAAATGAAATTGGCGAACTTTCTGGTCCTCATCTTTTTTGTTTTGGTGTTTGGGCTCTTCCTTAAGAATGCAATCAAGTCATCTTTTGGAGGACCCAAAAAAGAGTTGTAAATTGCAATTGCTTTCAGTGTGCTATTATTATTATGTTAATATGGCACAAGACTTATTTGCACGTGTAAATGCATAAATTCAGTATGAGAATAAAAAGATTTAAGGTAGTGTTTCGTTGAGGTTTTCTTCGAAGATAGCCATGCATCTTAGATTGGTATTCTATGGTATCTTTGTTTGGTAGAAGACATTCAAAAATTTTGCTAGCAAACTGATTTGTCCAACTTTAGACAATTGTGTGGAAATTGGGACAAAAAATAGTATGCAACAATACTACTTCTAACATGGTATTCAAAGATAACCGGTCAAATGGAATAAAGAGGACCAAAAATACTATGCAGCAGTACCATTTTTTCGATAATATTTTGTCAACCAAATAAATTTTTTTTTTTACTTTTTTATTAAACTCACTTTTCCATTATATTTTTAGTAATTATATTTCCTTAATAAAAAAAATTCTCTCCAACCATACGCGGTTGTTAATTACTAGTAATTATTGATGGCTTCTTATAGTTATATATGATGATCAATAGTCATCGAGTCAAAAAGAAACTTCATTCCAGAAAAGCTATAGTGCAAATTATTAGTTAAATAGTAACTCAGATATCGACTAACAGTTTGGAAACGCGTCAACAGCTTTTAATATTTATTTCACATTTTTAAAATTATAGATAATATTGTATTAATATTTTTTTATTTCGTTACATTAACCCTTCAAAATAATACAATTATTATAATATTTTAAATATTAACTTATTGAAAAATACTATATTAAATATTAGTTTAATATTATTATATTTTAAATAAAAAATTTATATATAACCAACGTGATATTGCTATTCAAATTCTAGAGAGAAAAACTCAACGCGAAAAATAAATTTCTTAAATGAAAGAGTCTCATTATTACATAAAGCTTTCACACTGGTTCAATATGTGATATAATATAATTATTATTTTTCTTTTAAATATAATATTCATATAATTATTTTGTTTAAGAATTTATTCGAATATTAAAATAAAAGGGAAATTTTTTATGTGTAAAATTACTTAAAAAAACATAAAAGTGTTATTTTTTTAACATGATGTTTGGATGAAAAATACTTATAAACTTAATAATATCATAATCAAATTGCGATAACAATTTCTTATTCGTCTACACCTTAACATTATTTAAAAGACGAATTTTATGAAATATTATATTTAATTATTGTATAAAAAGACAATGGTACATAATAATAAATATTCATAACTATTTATGACCCACCGTTAGTATTATACTAATTTCTAAAAAAATGATAAAAAAAAGTAAACATATTTATTAATAAAATAGTAATTATAATTGTAATATTCAAATTTAATATATATATATATATAACATAATAATAATATAAATAAATAATAAAATAATAATAATGAATAATAAAATAAATAATATATTTTATAATAAATTAAAAGAAAAAATAAATAGTATAATATAAAGATACAATCACGTGGCAAGAAACGTGTAATTAAGCACCCTAAAAGACTCAGGAAATTTTATCTAGATTAGATGACGTTTATTTAGATGACGAATACTTAGATTTTTTAATCACAATGATTACTTAATTAAAATCTAACCAGAATATATCTAGTTCTGTTAAAATCTAACCGAATGCAATGATTATTTTGTTCAAAAAGCCAATAAATGCACCTATATATATATATATATAGTTACACTTTGTTGCTGATCGTAGAAGGAAAAACAGTAGAAAGAAAAAACCCAAGAAAAGAAATAGAGGAAGAGGAAACAGGGAGCGGAATTTGAAAGAAGATAGAAAAGAAAGTAAGAGGCATACAGAAAAAGAAGGTAATATTGAGTGTGTTTCTTTTCAAATATTGTTATTTTGTCGTTGAACTCTTTTCTTGATATGTGCTTTCGTTTGAGTTTATTCTTTGATTTTATTCTTTTGCAGTACTTTTATTTATTTCTTTTCAAAGGCTGACTATCAAATTAATAAATTATTTGGTACTAATATTAATTGTATTATTGTTGTGAACTTACCCACAAAGTTAAGAATCAGACGGTTATAGGGTAAGGGATACCTTATTATGACTTGAGCTCCGCCATACAAAACTTATCACATGCAAAGACCCACAAAATTGAGCATTTATATAACTTCACTTAAATATTACACAATTTGTTATTTGTCACTACTTTTTATATTATTTTATTTATAAGAAATTATTAGAGAGTGATATTTTTCTTTATTACGGCTGAAAAAGGTTATAGTAAAAAAATCTCAATATTATTGAGATTTATCTCACGTTTGTTTGTTTTGTGCTAATCTTTCAAGAGAACCACCATGCCTAGCTTAACTTTATTTGGAGAAGGCTGGACTGTTACCATTTATTTTTATGATGACCGTTAGGAATATTATATAGCAGTGGGTACTCAATGAACAATGGCTATATTTCATCCAAACAGTGTGGAAATTTATACCTATATGCTAGACTAAATGTGACTTTTGTTTTATACAAACTTATGTAATTATGTAGTTAGGTTGTGTAATATGTAGTAAACTGATGTAATATATTTAGGGTGTAGAACCTGCAGTAAAATAGTTGGCATGTAACATATATGTAACTAACTTATCATCATGTAATAAGTAATGTTATGGACCGAGGAAAGGCCCACGACTACAAGAAGCCCAACCAATACAAGCCCAAAGGTAAGCTCTATAAATAGGAGCTAAAGACCACAGGTATGGCTGATCTCTCTAACCCTATTTTATGCAATCACGACAGTGCACACACACACCCTTTCAGGCTGCAGCCATTATATAGTGTGTGGTGATTCGTTGTCCCCAAGATACCTAATTGATAGGTATCTAGAGAGAGAGCCCTAGATCCAACATCAAGTACCCGACCTACGGTCAGACACATCTGCCCAAGGCAGAACATTGGCGCCGTCTGTGGGGAACGAACCTATGACCACGTTGAGGTATTTGTCTTGCTACGGGCAAGTGGCCTGAAAGGTTCATGCTGGCCTATCAAGCTAAGGAGGGAAATTAAGGGGACGCCCTTACTTCCCTAACATCCTTACAAAAATAAGGGGGCCAGTCAAACAAACAAATATCGGTGCACATCAATCACACACATTAACAAGGGCATAAAGCCAAATTCACCGTAACAGTTAAAGATGTTTTTAAACAGAAGGAGTTCTCAAAATGGTCAGAAAGCAAAAAACAGGAAAATTACAAGTTAAAACCGGCATTCCGGCTCTTCACTCCACACCGTGGTTATGCATCATTTCCCTTATCTCCGCCTCAAACTCGGCTCCAGCTGCCTCTATCCCCGCATTGGTTCCAGCTGCCTCAACCCTTGGAGTAATCCCAACTTGTAAGGTGCTACCTTCTGGCAGGCTCTGATTAGATGAAGGAGGGGGAAAATAAACCCCGCCGCGAACATAGCCAAAGCAGTCAAGCTGGTCAAGCCTTAAGGGGAATTCAGGGTTAAAATACCTTATCTGGTTAACACCATTTTTGAAGGCACTTATGGCGGCCTTTTGAAAAGAGGATCGGTTAAAATCATAAGCTGTTTGCAAATTTTGAAGATCCGACTTCAACTTATCAATCTCAGCAGTCAACCCGGCAACCTTTAAATCCTTCTCCTCCAGCGCGTCGGATTGATCTTTGAACCGCTTTACAATGTTATCCTTACCAGGGGTAACTCCGACGGCGTCAGAAATAAACTTCAGGTCTGCCTGGGAGTTCTCCAAAGAAGTCTTTAATTCAACAGAATTATTTGTTAATTCCTCATTGACAAGAACAGCTTTACCATACCTCACACGGAGCTCATCTAGCTCGAAAATAGTTTCGTAATGTTTTTCAAGCAGCAAGGAATATGGTTTCACCATTGAGGCAGTCTTGAAAGTATAAAGCTCGGCCTTCTGGAGTTCTTCCATCTCGACTCTCGAGATAATTCCAGAACCAAAAAAATGCAGCAGGAGGACGGACGACACCCCGGAACTCGGCTATTACCCCTGAGTCCCACAACGTTCCCCTCCGAAGTCCGCTTGGGAGAGCGGCGGGAGCAGGAGTACCCCGAGGAAGAGTTATCACGACATGCGTTTCGCCCCCACTAGCCGAGGTCGGAGGAGCTGGATTTGCATCAGTCTCCGTATTCTCGCAGTCGTCAGTAAGATCCAAGATGGAGACGCCAGAATTCAAAGCCAAGGTGGAAGCTGCCGCAACCGGGCTGGCTGTCCTAGGTCTCTTCGCCGGGGGTATAGGTGGAGCAGAGGCTTGGCCTGTTAAGGACAAAATATAATCCGGACCTGGCCCTTCCTCTTCTTCATCAAAATTCATGTCGGAATCTGCAAATAAAAACAAGTTATAACAGTAACAGGAAAATAACATAAGTAGCAAGGATTTAAATAGCGCAAAGCATACTGGTAGGCTCTGGGGTGGAATGAGATTTGGCTACTAAAGAGGCTGCGCTCAGATGACCCTTGGAAGCCACATGGGCCAACAAAGTCTTGGCATTATCCTTATCTTCTTGTGACAGCCTCAGCTTGAAGACGGCAGGCTTGCGACGGTGGTGATCTTGAGTCCAGTAGAGGGGAAAGATGGGTTCCCCATTATCACCAATGAACCATGGCCTCTTTCCCACCTCGGCCACCACTTTAAAGAAATAGGCTTTGAAGCCCTTGAAAGAATTGTTGTACACAGAAAACAGCCTTCGGGAGGGTTTGCTAACTCGGCCTCGAATGCTACTCCACCCCTTGAGTTTAGGAGGTTCCGAGCCGGTACGTGGAGTGTAAATGGTAAAAAAATGCAAAAACAGGGGAACAGTACATGGAAGGGACAAAGAGTCGCACAGTTGTTCAAAAGCAACAATATAAGCCCAGCCATTGGGATAGATCTGGGTTGGCGCGAGTAGCAGGTGATTTAGGAGTTGTATCTTAAACGGGGAAAAGGGAAACTGAATCCCAATCTTTGTCACCAGATCTCGATAGAAGAAAA